TAAAAACCAAATGTTTTATAGTTAAGTCTCGCTTAACTTTAATTAATTAATTAATTTCCTATGGATCACGTGAAATATTATGCTACTCCATTTAATCGTGATTATATAATTATTTTATTGAACTTTAATAAAAAAGCAATTTGTTTCATAACATTCTTCATTTATTTTAATTTTATTTGAAGAAATTTTAATTTAATTGTAATTTAGTCAATAAAGTATCTATTTATCATATTACATTGTTCTAGCAATTCACATTTCAAAAACATATTCTAGTATTAACGAATAAAATAAATTACTTAATCTTTATTTACATAATCTGTTAGAAATGTGTTCATTATTTATGAATAATTTTTATACTTATTCGCTACATCAAAACAATTAATTATCCGTGATTTTTTACTATATAATTCGATATATAATTCTTATATATTATTTTCAAAAATTAGTATGTAATATTAATATTTTTAATAACTATAAAAATAACTAAAATATTTAATAACAATCATTGTATAAGAAATAAATAAAAAGATTACAAAAAAATCAAAATATTCTAATAAAAATTAATACTAAATATTAATAATCTATAATAAATTGTTAAATATTGAATTTAATATTCGATATTTATAAATATTAAATTAAGTTAATATTTTTAATATGAATTATATGATTTCATTATAATAATATAAATTATTTTTAAAAGTAAATTAATCAAAAGTATATTGATTAATGAGTATTGCAAAAATTTTGAATACCATTAAAAATATATTCCATATAAATTAATTGTGTTAATATATGGTAATATTAAATTTCAGTTTATAATATAAAATAATTAACATTGAAATGTATATAAATGTATATGAAATATGTAAATAGCATTGAATATATTTTCGATAATAATTTGAATATAATCATTCATAAAAAGTCACTATCGATTTTGATTAATACATGGATAGCCCCGTTAATTATAAAATATCTATATAATAATGGACTAAGAAAATAATATTTTATAAAAAAAATGCTTTTTGTATTCCATAATTATTCCAGGGCTTATTTTATTTTATGAGTTTAACGAATATATTTTTTATATATATAAATTTGATATTATATAGATTTAAATTTTATACAGATTTACAATAGACAAATTCATAAAAAACATTAATAAAAACTTTACTCGAAGTTATTAAGATTTACATAATTGTATTAAATAATAATAATGATTTTAAATAATTAAGTAAATGTAATATATTTATTGGAATTCTTGTAAAACTGTTACGTTTATCTACATTAACAACTACGATCTTATTATTACATTATCATTTCATTTTTTAATAGCATGGTTTTCTAATAAATAGTACAAGTCTGAATTATTTGATTAATTGCAAAGTAAATATCAATTATTTTATTGAACTATAATTTTTCTAATACCTTAGAAAAATATTGCATGAACCATTAGTTTTCGGGATAAAAGATTTCATTAGAAAACAGACAAATCTTACAATTAATATTAATTTTGTTTATATATATAAATTATACTGCATGTATGTATATTAATTAAACATATTATTTCTTAATTTTGAGTATCTATAGATTTTTTAATAGCACAATGCTAATTATTTTATAATCATATAATAATTTTTTTTTCAACATACATCATTATTTAATTCATCTAATAGTGTAATTAATTTTAAATAAAAATTTGTTTAACAATATATATGACTTTTATATTTTAATGAACATTTTACATGTTGCACAAATTTTGTATATGTAGATTTTCAAATATTTAATTTAAAAAATTATTAATTTGACATAACAGAAGTAACAATATAAAATTTCATATATATTTTCTAATAAAAATATTAGAATAAAAATAACTGTTTAAGTATGATTGAAATATTAGTTATTATGTTATTAGTTATTACATTTTGATTAATATTAATAAATGAACTAAAATATAAAGTATATTATTGCTTTTTGAATTGTAATCTATTTTATAGAGTATTTTTAAATTTTATTTTTATTTTTGTTGCATTTGTTTTATTTGATTATTATTTAATTTTATTACTGATAAGTACAATTATTTCTACAGAATATTTCAATTTTGATTTTATCTTTAGTATATGATTATTACTGTATATAATAATAAAATTATTGAATAATAGACTTTAAAAAATGCTATTATTAATTTTAAAAAGAAAAGTTTCTAATATATTAAAAGTAGTTAAATAATGTAATGAACTAACATAATACAATTATAAAATATTTATTGATATTAGAAAATTTCTATTAACAATTTGACATGAACTTAAGTAAAAATGAAAAGTTTCGTAAAATTTGATAGCACAATCATCGTAAGTTAATATATAGTTTGGTAAATGTACCGTGTTGTATTGATCACAGTATTTTAGTATTCGTATTATAAGTAATCCAATTAATTAGTTGCATTTATAACATTTAGGACAATATAAAATGTATATGAAATTATATTGTAAAATAAATTTTCTTTAATGATATTATCTTCATAAATTCTAAATTTTCAAAAAATCTTGTAAAAGTTATATACAGAGTTAATGATAATTATTAACGATAAAGTAGCATATTTTCGAAAAAAATTTTTTGACAGAAATTTTTTTTTTTATTAAGAAATATTCTATGAAGTAAAATATATGAAATTTTCTGATAATTATTAAGTATCTTTCATTTCAATCATTAATAAATCATAATCAAAATATCTTATGATAATATTCGATTATTATAAAATACTAATAATAATTGATTTTATTATGCATTTTATAAAATTATTTAAATTAACAAATTTCATCAATAAAAATATTTGTAGTATCAATGTAAGAATTATTTTATATAATATTTTTATAAAAATTTTATAAACAATTAATAAAAATCTTTTTATTTTATGAACATAAAGATATTTGAATAAATAGTTTATATTTGTAAAAATTATTAGTAGCTACGATTAATTGATAGTTGTAATTAATTTACAATTAAAAGCATAGGATAAAGAATATAAGCAAGAACAATCCATTGATAGCTTAGTCTGTACGTTTTTTGACTACATGAAAAGTTTGAAAATATATTGGACGAACATAGTCACTTGATCTTATCAGATATCTGGTAAATTTCAGCAAATATCGCAATCTTAATACAGAATGAAATCAATACAACTGCCTGAAATAGGAATGACGAATATGAATAAATATATTAAATGAATAAAGTGATTATTATGTAATGATAAAACCTCGTTTATTTGACTTTCAAAATTCTGTATAAGTTAAAGTTATTTTAAAGGCCTTTCGATGCCCAAAATTGTACTTAAACTAATGCTATTTAATTGTAAAATCAAATTCTTCCATTCACAGATTATTTACATAATTTATATGTTTTAGAAGAAAATATAAATGAATGTAAATGTATATAAAATTTCATTACATAATTAAACATTCATAAGCTCATTCACTATATTAACTATGCAAAATAATTTATTTTGCACTATGCCGAACAACAGGACAAAAAGATACAAGATGTTTTCCGAACAATAAAGAAATCATTGATGAATTTATAAAAAACATTCATTCAGTAAATTGTGTTTACCAATATAATTCACAATAAATGAATATGCAAGATAATTAACTAAAATCACGAGCTATAAATGAAAAAGCCTTGGTCCTATTGTGGAATGATTCTAACGTATGCTCGTTCGTTAAGATGCTATTTTCAATTTCATACCCATAAGGTAGTAAATAATTGACATATATAAATCATTCAAGTTCTATATTAGATGTTGATGACATATGAAATAGTCGTAGAGTAATTTATTTTGAGATTAGATTGTAATTTAGTGATAATAAATTACATCGCATAAAATGTAAAATAGACTTATCATATTTATTCACATTATACATATTGTGACTTTTTTATGTAAAACGAAAAGAATTAAAATTTTAAATAGGTTCAAATTTTCTGATAAATATGACGCGAATATATGTACGTTTATATCAAAGAACTAAAACAACTCTATATAAATATAAACATAAATAAATATATTATAATATATAAATTATTATTTATTTAAGGGTAATTATTTTTTATAAAAAATATATACTATTATCTTTTGTTGTATTATCAGCACAATAGTTTAAATAATTCAATTCACATTATTGGGTACATAAGTCTTTAATTCGATATGTTGTAAAATATAAAATTTAATGTCCAAATAATTGTATGAAAATTTACACAATTGTTAAATAATTTGATTAATATATTATATTTTTAATGATTTTTATTTACTTACATATTTACGAAGAAAAAATTAAATAAATTGAAAGCATGAAAATATATAAAGATTAATATTTTTATTAATGTTCATAAAATAATTTATTTAAATTATATTTGTTTTCTTAAAATCTGTTTTCAATATTACAAGACTTAAAAAAAATTTTACGTATATTTATAACATGTTATTTATAAAATTTTAAAACTTATTCTAAACAATTTCTGTAAATTGTTATTTTAAAGATTTAAAAAATAAGCTTTTGAAATTTATTCAATAGAAACATTATAAAATTATTTATTGACATTATTTGAGTCTACGATAGATATAATATATTCTTGTATATAACAAAAAAATGATCTAATCGTAAATGATTAAGATTTTTTTAACAATTCATGATTCTAATTAAGTACATTCTAATAATTTAGTCTTTATTTATAAAAGACAAAATATTTGAATTCTTATTAATAATTAATTTTAGAACATTAAGCTTCAAAATACGCTTTGAATGGAAAATGTTATCTAATAAAAAATATAAGTTACATGACATACAAGTTAAAGAAAAACATTTTCAAAGATAAATAGGTTTGTTAATATTGAATCATAATATTAAATTTATTTAATATATTAAAATTATTATATATATATATATATATATATATATATATATATATATATGTATATCAATTTTTATTTTATACAAAAATAGTGTTTTCACTTTAACAACGAATAATGACAGAAAAATTTTAGATTATTTATAATCAGGACCTATTATATAAAAGAATTATATAATTATATATTAATTAAGCATAAAAAAGCTTCAAAGCTCGAATAAGTAGAAATAAAAAAATATTGTCTGCTTTTTGTTTATTTAGGAACATTTTATTAATTAAAAATTTGATTATCTGTACTAATTAAAATTTCTTGTAACGAAATTTATGTCTCTCATCACATTCGTATGACAGTACGCATAAAAATGAATTAAAAATATAACTTACTTTATTATCGAATGCTTATCATTTTTATCTTAAAAATATTTTTATAAATTTCTGGTTTGATTATTAGATTATTTCTGTTTTGATAAATTACAATCGATTACTTTTTTTGTTTATAAATGCAAAAAAATTGTTATTATTTTTATTAAACAAATTGCACATAAATCTCTAAGTAATCAATAAATAGTTATTAAAATTTAATTTCTCAAATATAGGCGATCCGATTAGACAAGGTGTATAATAATATTATATAAGCATAAAAAGTACTTTTTCTTATGTATGAAAATAAAAATATAGAATAAAAGATATATAAGATATTATAAGAAGTTACAAATTTGTAATAAAAATTTCAACGAAAGTGATATATAAATTATTAATTATTTTAATTTTTTATCGTATTCTAATTAAGAGAAGAAAAATTAATTAACAAGATATATTTTTAAATAATTTTTGACAAATTTTTAATAGACGATATATTTATATTCTGTAGATACCATAAAAAATACAAATTTATCTACAACTACTTTAAGAATTACAAAATTGGATCAACAGAAATATCTATTATTCAAATCTTTCACCAAATTCCTATAATAAACACTTGCTATAAAAGTAACCTTTTTCACAGTGATTCGAGAATGCCAACAAGTGTCTTGCTTCACAGTTCGCATTTTTTTAAATTTTACTTGTGCAATGATAGGCAAAGTAGTGTCAATGAAACGATCATAAACAGGAAAAAATACCATAGTAAAAACACGAATCAGCAGACACGACTGCTACAAGCTAACCGATGGTACAGGCGAGACGAACGCCAACGCGCAAACTCTTGAACTAAAAGTTAAAAGTAAGCAACACATATATCAAAGATGCTTCAATCTTCGAGGTCGTCACCAGTGCTGAACGTATGTGGCTCATCGACCCTGACCTTACAACATCGGAGTGAGATGCTTGATCTTTCCCCGCTGCTCTTCGTTTTCCATCATAATAGATTTGTACACTTCATTAACTTTACTGATCTGAAGTTTTTTAAATAAATTTTTTTTTATGAAGATTCTTTATTTGGTGAAAATTAGATATATTAGAAATTAAAAATTTATTGTATTATTTATTAAACATATATAAATAATATTACTGGTGTTTTACGAATATGTTATCATACTATTTTAACTAATTCATTAAACTTAGTTAAAAAATATGTTCTACTTTGAAACTAAATTCTCATGTAAATATAAAGTAAATGTTTAACTTATATAATAAATCATATCGCAAAATACGGAATTCTTCAAAAAATTTATATATTAAAAAATTATAAAATAAATTTTTAATTATAACTAAAAAATTTGTTAAATATTATATAAACTAAATTTAGGTGAATAGTGTCACAGTATAACAGATGGTTTCGCAATCTATATATTATTTCACGTCGGCCACATACAAAACACATTCTGATAAATTTTCTTTTATAATTTTGGTATATTCATTTCACATAATGAATTTATATAATACTTTTAAGTTTAAAATCTGTTTTTTTGAATATCCTTTACCCCCTTATAAAAATCTTCTCTGTAACTTGTGACCCGTAAAGGCTGTAAAGATTTTCTACTTAAAGGTAAATGTGTAACACTTCGTTTCCAATGGAAATTGTTCTTATAAATGAATTAGTATAAAAAAAATAATAAACATAAAAAAGTTATAATTGATTACAGTATGTTTCAATTTGAAACTTAAATACAGTAATATCAAATATAAATTTAGATATATAGCAACCGTTTTTTAATTCTTTATTTAATTATTTAATTTTTGCAAGCATAATTTTTTTTATACAAAATTTCTATAGTTTAATAATCTCAAAAAAGTTACATTTAAGAAAAAATTATCTTATTCTAAATATATTTGAAAATTATATTGATTAATCTCATTATTGTTTTTCTTATATTAATGTAAATAAAATTCATTTTCTATTTACTTCCACCTTTTTTATATTAAATAAAAATGGAAATATGTATGTATAAAATTTTTTCATATTATTGTTAAAATGAACTCAAAAACTAAACAAATATAAATACAATTATAAATGAAAAATAGAATAATATTAAAGATTTATGTATTTTAAAAAATAAATAGATCTTTTAAGATTAATATACAAATATTTGAAGTATTTATACATATTGTTATGAAAATATTCTGTGGATTAATGTACGGTATAAATAATAAATGACTTATTACATTTTCTTGAAAAATGTAGGAGTTAATTTAAATACTATTTGTTAAATATTATCTTTTATATTTTCTTAATTTTTCTATGAATTTTATTTTCTAAGTACACGTTTTTCGAAGTAAAGGTTTTTTTTTATATTAAGTTGTTTAATAGACTCTTTATAAAATATGTTCATCAATTATAACGAAATATATATTACGCAATATATACAATCGTTTTAAAGGCAAAAATAAAACTTGAACAAATTTCAACGAATTCCTGTTATCAAAGCAACTGAAAAAATTAAAACTTGCCTTCAGAAATTCATACTTATAACGTATATAATATTAACACATATTCCATTACATTATCAGTTTTGCAAGGTGTTACTTTCATGACGTAATGGTTATCTTAATAAATAAAATTATACAATCTGAAGTCGAGTATTCAGTTTATCTTTTTCTACAGTTTTTTTTTAATTTATAAATTTTATTAAACATTATTGTATTTAAATTTCGTTTTATTTAATCTTCGTAGATTAAAGATTTACATTTTTTATCAATAACAGTAATAATTTTTAAAAAAATTGTTGGTATAAATAAAAGTTCATAATGAATTAAAATTTTTTACATTATATAATAATTAAGAAATTATCTATAACTGTGAATATTTATCTTGCTATTTATAATATTCAATATTTAAATGATTCTCAATAATATCTTACTCTCAGATTTCTCAGTATTAAGTTTACAATGAAATTAAAAAATAATTATATTTCATAAATTTACAGGTTATAAATGAAATTCAAAATTACTTCAAAATCAATTTTAATATCACAAATTTTGATTGTAACGACCTTGCAATAACAATTTCATTATACGAATCAAGATGGAATCACTTTGATTTATTCTAAATTTTAAATACTTGCACTTCGTTTAAACTCAATACTATTCGATATGTATAACAATTACGTAACCAAAAAATATAGAAGAAGTACCTATTTACTAAGAAAAATTTGGAAAATGGAAGAATGCGTTAAGGTAAATACATTTCATTCGTTATTCATTGATAATACTTATAAGTCAGACAATATAAAATTATTATGGGGATTATATGTTTTAATACTCCTTCTAAAGCATAACAATTTTAATAAGGATTTTTCTATACTATAAATTTCTGATTATGAAAACATGACTTTTTGAATTTAAATATTAAAAATCTGTTTAATGCAGAATATAGATAAAAAATATTTATGGACCAAATTAACAGAACTAAATTGATTAATGTTACTTAAATTTAAATTCTGTATATTACTAACAAAATATATGATTTTGTTACATATTATCCATTTCCAATATATATATATATGTCTCTTTGTAAATCTATTACTCATATGAATATCATGTAAATCTAAATATTTTTTTTTATCAAAATTTGTTATTTTAATATTTTTTAATTTAAAGAAGAGGTAAAAATTTATTTTCATTGGTTGATGTAACAGTTTTTTATCATTTCATTTATTCTGTTTTTTTTTTTAATTTAAACATTATAACACCAAATAGTATCTAATTCTAATATCGACAATTTTCTAGTATAATAGCTCTGATAAATTTGTTAATTGTGTTTACTTACTTACCTATCCAATGTTAATTTTTGTAACTAAAGAGGTTTCATTTTTTTACCTGCAATACCATCACTTTTTAAAATGACCCAAATCTTTTTTCATAACAAAATTTTACTTATATTCTATCGATGTTTGTATTAAAAAGTACATAAATTGAAACTGTAACTTAAACATAAATAATATAAATCATTTTTTGTTAATTTTTGTCATAATAATACTATTAAAATATAATATGTACTTAAAAATCTATATTTAATCTTTAAGTAAAACTTGCAATTTCTTAAAAATTACATAAATGTTAGAATAGTAAAATAAAAAGTAAGCTCTTAAAATAAATTTATTGTAAATAGGGTATATTTTCAATTCACTACAATTATAAAATATTTATTGTACATTTCACAAAATATTTACATCAATATTTATTACTTTGATGTATAAAACAATCAATCTCAACATACATCGCAATCATCCATCATAATCAATGCTTTTATTATGCAAAATTTGATCTACAATAAAAATAACATAATCCATAATAAAAATATTTACTTATTTAACATTTCATTAATTAGATTTAAATTCTAAAATATGGTAACTTTAAGATTAATTATATTAGGACTTGTAGTTAGAAGAGCGTATAGTTGATTAATCATCGGTAAATTTACTCTTATTAATTATAAGATTACATACGTTAAGTTAAGTTATTGTTTTTATAATTGTTATAATTGTTAAATTATTTTTTTTAATTTTCCGCAAATATTAAAACATTCATTTTTTATATTATATTTGTATAAGACAATAAATCTTTAGTATACATTTTTATGAATTAATAATTATTTTTGTTTAAAGAAATATATGATGCTTAAAACCTTATATACAGAGTACGAGATTTAATTTTTATTTTCAATCCTTATTAACATTACTAGTACTTAATTTGCTTAAGTTATTAAAAGTACTTACGTATTCTTAATCGACGAATAACATAAAAAATGTTCATTTGAATATGAATTATATGTCATAATATCCGTATAAACTTTAATTTATTTATTAAAAAAAAATTATAGAATTGTCAACAATGTGACACCATTGAAAAGTAAATTCTAATATAAATTACAATAAAATTATATTTAAATAATCAAAAAAGTTATATTTAGATGATACTTTAAAATTTTCGAACCAATTATTCAATCATATTAATTTTTATTAATGCACAATAATTATAAAATTATAAAAATATCGATTAAATCAACTTTTAAATATTTTATTCATAATTTGAAATAATATTTGTTTTTTATTTTTTCATTTTTAGTTTTAAAAATATATAAAATTATTACAAACAAATTTTTACAGATAAAATAGTCGTTAAAATTCAATATTATACGTGTATATTCAAATATTCAAAACCACTGTTATAAATCTATATATATAGATCGAATGAATTCTTATTTTACACGAAAATGGTGATCAGTATATACCCTTAATCAAAACATTGCATTTGTTCAATTCTATTACCAAATATATGTATATATATATATACATATGTCTGTCTGTCTCTCTCTCTCTCTGTGTCTGTATGTGTGTGTGTGTGTGTGCGTGCGTGCGTGCGTGCGTGCGTGCGTGCGTGCGTGCGTGCGTGTGCGTGTGTGCGTGTGTGTGTGTGTGTACGTGGTCGTGTGTACGTACGTATGCATGTATTTATATGTAAAAAACACTGCTGTTACAAAATCAATAGTTTCAGGGGCTTTTGAATCTTGGCATTCTGGTATTCTGAAATTCATAAGTTTACGATATTCATCTTTTGTTTATCTCATTGCATTGATTCACGAACAGTTGAATGAATGTTGAACTTTTTTATGATGAATTCGCTGCAATTTGAGGTACATTAGTGCAGCACTTAAACTACTGAGAACAAGAGCAATGAGAAGTGTAGTGAATGTTGTGTAAAAGCCAATGTAACTCAAACAAACAGCCAAATTCGTTGGTTTTGATGTTATCTGTTGTTGCTGCATCTCTGCTAATCCAGTTTCCTGAATATCAGTAGAAATTTCATCGTAGGGGGTCAGGATAGAACTATCCGGCAAATCTTCTGGCATAACGACACGGAAACCTCGAGCAATACGTACTGCTTCACCCTGATGTTCATTTGTCCAATTTGTGGAATTTCGGTAAATTATGGAGCGACGACGACGTCCTGGTTCAATTTGCTGTACAATTAAACCGATAAGGCTCATTAGAAAATAATGATTTTTAAGGCTTATTTAAATTATGTATTTAAATTCATCTATCTAATTTTTTTTAATCTACCAAATATTTATAAATAATTTTAATTTATACTTTATATATTATATGCCAAATACTATTGAATTCGATTCAATGCGTATTATTTATACAAATTCAATATAAAATCGCATATATTTTTTATTTTATACATTTAAATTTTAAATAAATTATTACATGAAGGTGTATAAATGCTAATGAAATTCTTTTATTTTATATGTAATTTAATCTGAACATATTTTCATTTATAAAAAATTATGAATTAATAGGGAAAGTGAAAATACGGATCCATATAATATAATTAAGCAATTAAGTAATTTAAAAGAAAAAATTTCTAATTTTATTATTTTAATACACATGTATTGGTAAACAATAAATAAAATTTTACATAACTAATGCTGCAATTGGTATAAGTATTGCAATTATTTATAATTTAATTAAATATATGAATTTTGCCTAACTAGAAACTACTTAATCTCCTCAAAAGTGTACATTTAATTGAATAATTATTACAGTACTTAATATAATGTAACCTCGTATAAAAAAGTGAAATTAATAAAAAATGATTTTGTAACACTAATTCATTGAAAAATATAACGTTAATAAGTTTGTATTTATTTCAAATTAAATAATTAATTAAATTGCTTTCATTATTAAATTTTATGTTCAGTCATGTATACAACGATTGTTATATTTATATATATATATATATATATACAAATTGTATTATGTATATTACATTATGTATTGAAATAATATAAATAATGGAATAATGAATACTTTAAAAAATATAAATATGATAATAATATGAATTTTGAAAATTCTAATTCTATTTGTTTCAATTATATTTACCTGATTACTTTCAAGGCAAGGCTCGCAATTCGTTTTGCAAAGTTCGACGTTGCATTCGATAAACAAATCCATAACATCTGGGAATTTAAAAGCTTGGAAAAATGCATATGCTATAATAGATGCTCCCGAATTTCCAGTTTCATTTGTTTTTTGGAAGGCGCCAAATAGTTTTGGTTTAAGAATACATCCTCGATCATCAGTTAATTGATATACATTGGTCGATGATTCATCTCTTGCAACACAGTCACGAACCTTGTCATATATTTACTTTTAAATATCAACGTTTATCGTTGTTTTTTTTTTAAGACAAGATTATTTCACATAAAGAAGAATTTAAATTGTATTATATTCGGAGAATAAATTTAATAAACTTCTACTAATTATAATAAACTCATCATTTATATTTTAGTATTTTCATTTATGTATTTCATTTAAAATCTATAATAGTAATTCTATTGGATTTAAAATGACAAAAAATTATAATAGAATTTAAAAGTATTATTTTTATAAACATTTAAGATATTGATTTTCAGTTAATTTAAATGCCTTCTTTCTGATAGATGAAATTGTTTATAAGTAAAAATGAAATATTTGTTTATAAGTAAAAAACTTATAAAACATACTTGTAAATCAAAGGCAGGATCTCCTTCAACAGAAACAACAAGAGTCATTGTATCGCCAATTTTTACGAGACCATTAGCCGCTGGTGCAAATGGACCTTTGCCAACTTGAATGTCAAGTTTAGCTGTTGCAGTATCACCACTAAATGTCACAAGCTCTTGATTCAGCATATCTACTGATAGACTCACCTTTAGGGCTTTATTAATGTTTCCTTCCCATAAGCAGCGTACCGTCCGTACAGTATCCCAGACTTCTTGGATACCAGGTTCGTTCTAAGTTTAAAATAATATTCTTTAGCTTGCATTATTACGGACAAGTTTGAATTTTTTAATTCTGTTTTTTTTTTTTTATTTTATTTCCGTTAATATTTCTAAGGCGATAAGACAATAGATATAAATTATTAATTAAGAAAATGAAATCTTTCAAAATAATTTACAATAATACAATATTATCAGATTATTTGTAGAATAAATAAACAAAACCAAATGGTTGACAAATGACAACGATTTTATTTTATAATTTATTAAAACAATTGCAGAATTAAATATATATTTTTTAAATAAATAAAAAATTTATTCTATTTAATTATCTTAATAAAATACAAAAATGTCATCAAACATATTATTTTTTATAGTAAATTTTTATACATATTAATTGATCATTACTAAAACTTTTAAAAATTTAAAAAAATTTTTTAAATATTTATTTTGTATTTGAAATTGAATTTTGTATCAAATAAAATTTACCAAAGAAAAATTTTATTTAATAAATATAGAGAAGAGATAATTTAGTTTACAGTTGTACAATTAAAAATATAAAATTGCAAGTAATATGAATTTATATATTAGTAGCTTCAATTGGGTAATACGAGAGAATAATTTAGATTAATTGATAAAAATATTTTTTATAAATTATTAATATAAAATATTAAAATGCGTGTATATTTCTTATGTACAATTATATATTTCAAAATATACAATTATATTTTTTAATAAAATCTAATAATCTATACATACTTGTAAAACTAAAACATTCTCCAAATATGCCTGTCCAGCTTCGCCTTCAAAATCATTAATAAATTGAGTTCCACAAGAATCAAGATTAAGAGTGAAAGAATATTTATTTTCTCCAGAATTTTGTTCAACGTATCGACATTGTGGCATCATGAAAAATCCCTGCAAATCATAAGATTACAATTTAAATAAGTATTAATAAAAAGTTATTGAAAAAAATTTATAATTAAAATTAAATAGTAAAAATTTATTAAAATAATTATTTAAATAATAGATTGTATAAACTGAATAGAATACGAGTGACTTTTTTGATACTAAAAATTTGGGATTATCTATTATAAATTACCTTTGAATAAATCACACCATCGAAAATTCTATTGAATTCTATATTAATAGTCATCATTGTTTTACTGCATTGTACGTCTAAACTATGAATATGAGGTGGATGTTTCAAATCGTCATCATCTCCTATCGAATCAAAAGATTAGATAAAATAAAATTAAGGATTAGAAAAATTTTAAAAAGTTTTTTGTTTATTACGTTTTAAATTTTGTAAATTATTAAAATTATATACCAGGTGTAGGTAAAGGTGCTGCATCAGATTCAGTCTCTACATCAGATTCAGGTACTACAATAAATAAAATACTATCAAAATTCACAAATAGATAACAATAAATTTAGTTTCTAATATTAATATTTCAATAAATATAATTTCTTAAGTTTTTTAAGACGGAATTTTTAAATCATATTTAGATTTTTAAATAAACATTGAAACTTATAATTTCAATCAATCATTTATATTATATTTTTAATTCCCACCTGCATCAGGTCCTGATTCTGGTTCCAATGCTGGCTTTGATACCGATCCCGATCCAGCTCCTGATTCTGGTTCTATAATACGATATAATAATCGATTAATTTAATAAATAATATTAATTATATTATTTATTTTCTAATCATTTCTTGTAATATCGAAATAATGTTATCAATAGCATAATATATCATTTATTTAAAATGCTTTTGTGAAAATAGATGTTCAGTTTAAAAATCAATCATTTTATAATTAGAAATATGATTAAAATATATTTTATTAATACGTACGTAATTTCATATTTTTATTTCTAATATAAATAAGTCTTTATTTATAATTTACAGTCTTGCAATAATATTTCACCCTCATACAATTATTTTTTATCCACATACAACTATAATATAAATATCATTATAAATAACGTATTTATTTAATTTTAACTAAATATATAATTGTTTTATTTTTATCTTGCACTTATTAGTATATGTGTAAAATGCAGTATTGTGTGAAAAGATGTAAAATTATTTTGTAAACATTAATCGTGATCAAAATAAATGATTGCAAATTATTTTATACAACTTAAAAAATTCTTATCAATTCTATTTTATGTTATGTATTATAATAATCAAAATACCATTGCCGATTTTATTTACTTGATATTAGTATATGTACAGCAGTTATATATACTATGTATATATAGTATATATATATATATAGCACTTGTATAGTATGAATAATAATTAGTCAGATTTTGTAGTGCATAGATTTATATAAGTAGTGTAATTATGTAATGGATAAATTAATTTATTTGATTTCGTATAATTTTTTAAATTATATTATTGTATTCTATATAATTTTCTGAAGCTAAAGTTTTCATGCAATAAAGCACAAAATACACTTACTAGGTCTTGAATCAACTTGTGATCCAGGTCTTAGTGCCGGTTTTGGTACAGTTGTTGGTCCAGGTCTTGGTCCTGGTCTTGATCCAGGTCTAGATCCCGGCCTTGAACCCGGCATTAAGGTAGGTCTTGGACCTGGTGTGGGGAAATCCGGTGATGGCCGGCTGCCAGGAGAAGGGTAAGGATATCCCGATCCAATTGAAGTCTGGCTAGGTGGTAAGTATGTCGTTGATGAGCTTGGATAACCTCCATATGGAGAAGATGATCCAATAGAGGCTGATCCAGTATTGTAATTATTTTTAGCATTGTTAGATCGAGCAGTAGTGAATCCTATGGTCGATGACGGTCGATTAGAGGAATAACCTTGTTCCGAGGACGATTGACTACCAAAGTCTGGATAACCGCCAGATACTTCATTTTGACTTGGATTTGAATAAGATGGAGGTTGTTGTGTCGAAGCTGGTTGAAATGGTCGAGGTTTTTCTGGTGGTCTTTGGGTGCTGTATGGTGGCAGATAGGCATTGTCCGACTGCTGACGTGCTAAAAATCATTAATTAAGCAAGAAACGTTCCCATAGTGCTAAAAGTTTTAATATATAAAAAAATTAATAGAAAATATTTTCAACTTTACGTCACGATTAAAAGTAATATACATAAATTCAAAGACCGGATGAAAGATGGAAAATATATTTTATATTTAAATATTTAATCGTTTAATATATTACTATAATATATACTTTATACACATTGTTGTATCATAAAATGCCCGTTAAAAATAAAAAATTTAAAGGAACCTATGTATGAAATATAATAATAGTACTCTTCTTGAAAAGTTGTTTATTAAAAAGTAAATTTATTAAAAAAATTCAATTAATATTTTCTAAATTATTTTTATATATAAATACATATCGTGTAACTTACTTTTACGTACGCCTTGTCGATAAATCCCTTGAATCCATTCTAATATATTCCTTGCCATAACGTCAGCTGGTGAATTTTCAATTGCTGTTGCATTCACCATAAATACAGTTAACACCAACGTGTAAATTTTCATGATGTATCCTAAAATTTTATATTTTATAATTGTAAAAGATGGCATTCAGTTTTTTAATATTAAACAAAACTTTTTACAAAATCATTTGAATTTGCATTATATTACGTGAAATTATTAATTTATAAATGCTTGCAAATTATATGCATTCATTTACAAAACGTAAGCGATTTATTTATATAGGACAGTATAAAATTACGTATTAAAACTGTTAATGTATCCTTTTTATGTAAATTTTTTTTTAACATTTTTTGTATTTATGAACTTACAATCATAAGAGTTTGTATATATTATTAGCATAATTGATATAAACTTTGATAATGATAATGATAATGATATTATTAACTTATTTTAGATATATAATTATTTATTTAGGTTTATATTAAATAATTTATATATTCAGAAATAAATATATGATTAATTATATTCAATCGGTAATATATATATATATATATAAATAAACTAATATGTTTAAAACTTATCATATAAATAGTAATTTTAGTAAACTGTTATCATAAAACTTGTGATTTCAGTTACTTTTAGATTATTAAAAAATGTGTACGTTTAAGAATTAGTAATCAGTAATGTATATTTCAAAAAACTTTATAGAATACAATCTAAAAGCGATTAGAACAATCGAAATGTATTTGATTTGTAAACTTTAGCTAAAATAATATTTTAATTAGTGAAAGGATATTATATTAAAACAACATTCAAAATTTTTACATCTTACAAATCAAATATTTGAATAGTTTTTAAATTACCATCCAATTAAATACGGCTTCCAATTAATGTAGGTATTCTAATCTGCATTTAAAAATTTTGACTCGTAAAAATATCTTTTATCTTTCTAATAGGCTCCGTTCGTTTTATAATACTGTCTCAAAACACTGTTCAAGTCCTTTTTACGAATATAAGAAAACATATAATAATATTATGCAATTATCTTTTTATCGTGAAATATTATTAATATGATGACGAAATATGCATAATTTTAATAAAGATTATTCAAATATTTTATTTGACTGATTATTGTTACGTGTTTTAATTATGATTACATATTTACATTATAAATTTTATTACCATTAAAATTATTTTAAGATGTTTTTTATTTACGGCAATATTTTTTATTATTATTACAATTACGTTAGGATTAAACTTTTGTTGAATTGTGTTTGGTTATATATATATGCAAATTAAATATTAAAATGTAAATTGCCTCTTCGTTAGTTTATAAAGTAATAAGAAAATATTTCAATTCAATATGATTTTCACACACATTAAAAAATATATCATATAAGTATCATATAAATATATTCATTTAAATATCAGCTATTATATAAATACTGTTGACACAATTTACAACTAATTTATAAAACTATTAATTTACATATATTATTTTTATATAAAAATTCTAATCTTACATAAATTATATAATATTTCCTATGTGATTGATATATCATTATTCAAAATTGTCATTCTTCCATAATTATTGTAAAAATTTAATATTAGAAAATGTTATATTAAGTTTTAAAGATGTATTCAATAATTATATTTATAAAACATACACAATTAGTAGCAACAATGTAAATTTGAGTTGATGAAAATGTTAGAAATCATAAAAAATATTAAACATCTATGACCAGAAATAAATAAACTAATGTAAATTATGATAATATCATAACTACGTCAATGTTTTGTCTGCTTAATTCTAATTTTACCATTATTATTTCCAAAAAATCTACAAATTTTAACGATAATATATTTGCGCATGCTGATTCTTTTGTATTGATTTTCCCTTATGTTGTACCCATGCAAGGACAATCTGCGGTGGTATCGTCATTGAACGAAAGTAGAGAAAGCGATTTTATAAAATTAACGGCAGTGATAATCATTTTCGCCTTTCAGATATCTCACTTTATTATTGTATATTCAACTCTTGTGTACATTGCTTGTAAGGATACAATTTTTATAGCTAAGTTCAAGAATTTATGAGAAAAGTTATGGACGTGTGCGATTCAATAAAAAAAAAAGATCGATCAATGGATCAATATGATACAAACACGCAATAAATGCATGAAATATTGAAATTTTTATTAAAAATTTGATATTAAGTAAAATGGAAAAACTGTCTGTATTTTTTAATTTAATAATAATATCTATATTATTATTAGTTAAGGTTTTAATTTAATAGTATCTTATCTTTATGTATTTTTGTAAAGCTTATTATGTTAAAAACATTGTGTTTAGTATTCATCTGAAATCTATATAATTGTTTTATATTTTAAGCTTAAATATGTAATAAAATCAACAAGGTTTAAAGTTAAAATACTTCTTTTTCATTTTTTTGACAATACTAATACAAATAAACTAATTCATACTAATTCATAACTGTTTTTCAAATACTAATATATATATATTGAAAATAAAATTGAAAAAAAGAAAAGAATCACATAATAAAATTATATAAATAAATGTATTATATAAATATAAATATAAAATATAAATATAAAAAAATTTATTCTAAATTTAACTAAAATATATTTTTAATTTTTATAAAATAATTATAATACATATAATTTATAAAATACTTTGTCTATTAAATTTGCATGAAATTTCTTTAATAAATCAATTAATGTATATAAAAATGTAAAGGAAAAATATAAAGAATATGATAACTCATAATTTACAATTAGGACTAATTACAAATAGAAGTACTTAGGTAAGAAAATATTTTAAATATAAAATAATTACTTCCATTAAATTGCAAATAATTTTCTCTTCTTTGCGAAAATGATAAAATCTCTGTATACTTGACTCTTACTCGGTGAACTGAGAACGTTCGTGAAGATGGGGTTCTTCGAAGAAAATAACATTTTGAGAAAGTGATGACTATAATACATTATTTAGCTCAAATTAATTGATAAATCTATTACATCTATTCTTTTATTATTCTAATATAAAAAAATATTTTTCACATATTATTAACAAAACATTATAATTTTATACAAGCTTATGCTGTGAATAGTTTTAATTTCAAAATAAAACTAAAACATAGTATAACATAATAAAATTTACTTTGTGATGTGTGTGTCGCATCTTATCATCAACACTTAACAAAATAAAATATTTAAATTCTACTTATTTAGTTTTATAATTTGCATATATTTAAAAGATTTTCATTTAAATTAGATACACGTTGGAATGTTATAATTTTTAACTAAATTTAATAAAAAATTTGTTCTAAATGAAATATTATACTGGAGTTTGATCACTTTTTAGAAATTCTACTATTGATTTTCTAAATAATTATCAAGAGTATGTAAGCATATAAAATAATATAGAAATAAATTAAGAAATATATGAATATTTTTTAAAAAAGGTAATTGTATATTTCTAACAAGACTTCACATCGAAATTTCTATTGTATTAAAATAGTTATTATTATTGTAAAATACATTTGTTAAATTATAAAATAAATAAATGAACTCTGACTTTCTTCGTTCAAAACTCTGAAAAAGAGTTGAAAAAGATGAAAAAATTCACTTTTTTACTTATTATTTTATTTAGTGCCTTAAGTTTTATCTCTTATTTATTTTGAATTAGAAATAATGTTAAATTACAACTATTCCATAGAGAAATTAAAATAACCAATAGTATTAACTACAAATTTAGAGTGACTTACTAAATATTATGAAATAACAGCAGTAAATTTAATATTTGACTATTTTTGTATTTTAGGGCGCCTATTTTTGATTCAGCAATGAAAAAAAAAAACGATGCAATCGTTAGTTTTCATTTTGCCAATATTACGAACATATTGATTTGAATACGATGCTTATGAATTTTTGTAGTACAGTATTATATTAAGTATAATATTAAGGAATACATCATTGATTTAGTGATTTCTAATTTAATATTCAGTTCGAATATTGTTTATTTTTAATTATTTTTAAAGTAACTTAAATTCTTAATTGTTGTGTTAAGAAAAATCTATCGTTTGAATAAATAATACATAATTTTTAAAAATTTGTAGTTAAAATACTTTTATTTAATAGATTATCTATAAAAACGAAGTATTGCATTAAAAATTCAATCGAGTATTGTTTAAATATAATGAATAAATTATTCGATTTAACATTGTTTTAATACATATTAGTCTCAATTAAATATATAAAAATCAACACTGACTATAAAGTTTGATGTAGCAACATTTATACTTCAACATAAAATGATTTTTTACAATACTTCAATTTTATATGTCCAGATAGTTTTATTTAAATCTGTATCTGCGGTCTATAAAAGTTAATTTAAAATTTTCATGTTATTTTCTAATTTTGTATGACATGCACAGTTAGTTATGGTGTTTTGGTCGCTGTCTTCTTGCATCACCCATAATGTATGAACTTTGTGAAACCACAATTCAACGTATGTTAATAAAGCTCTTTAGTATTTTTTCATATTCATGCTTTATAATTGTTCATAAAGAACTACAAAGAGGTAAAACCACATTAATATAAATATTTTCAGCCCGAATTAACCTTTGTCATATAATTATTAGTACAATATATATTGATATATTTTTTATAGAAAAAATACCTATATAAAACTTGTGGATGGGGTATAGAATACAACTTAATTTAAAACATTTAATTTAGTATGTAATAATTATTCATTTAAAGTTGAACTTCTCTCATATAATAAAAAATTATATTTTTTGTGTGATTATTGTTAAATGTCGCAATTTCTTATTTGGCAATATTTGAAAATGTCCAATATTTTAGATGAAGAAGCTGTATACGTAAGCGAAAGTGGTTAAGTCAATTGAATTTCTCTTGAATTCAAATACAAACATATCAGTTGAATAGCCGATAAATATAAAATACAAGATCAAACGAAAGATAAACAAATAAAAAGTACTAACATTGCATTTTCATTTACGATGGCCGTTCACAGTTAAAGCGAAATCGGTATTTTTTATTTTGATATGCTGCGTAGTGTCCTTG